CCCGCCGGCGGGACAGGGCCGGCGGGACACACCGCGGGGCCGGGGAGGTGGCACCACAGGGACCCTCGGCCCGTAGGGGCTGGTGCATCGCGGGGAGCCGTCGCGGGGCGGGGCTGAGCCTTTAGGGGCTGGTACATGGCAGTCACCAGATGGGGATGCTCATCCTATAGGGACCGGTGCATCACTGGCACCCCGTAGGGTTTCTTCCCCGCAGGGGCTGGTGCGACCTTGTCACCCCCTAGGGTTTTTGACTCCATAGGGGCTGGTGTGTTGCTGCCATAAGGGTTGCTGCCACCCCATAGGGTTTCATCCCCATAGGGGCTGGTGCGTCCCTGTCACCCCGTAGGGTTGCTGTCACCCTGTAGGGTTTCTGACTCCATAGGAGCTGGTTCGTCCCTGTCACCCCATAGGGTTGCAGACTCCATTGGGGCTGGTACATTGCTGTCATAAGTGTGCACCCCCCCTCAGACACCAGTGCATCGCAGTCACTCTGGGGTTCTCATCCCACTGAGGCTGGTGCATATGAACATCTCCATAGGGGCATTTCCCCTCCAGGCTAGTGCATCACGGACATCCCATAGTGGAGTTCACGCCCCTTGGGGTCGGGGCATCACCATCCTGCCATGGGGTGCTCACGCCACCAAGCCTGGTGTCTCACAGTCACGCCTTGGGGGGCTCATCCCCCTGGGGTCAGTGCAGCAGGGTCACCCCTTGGGATGGAGCCCTCTGGCCACCCTGCATTGACCTGATCCTCCCCCCCCCCCCCTTTCCAGCAAATACTTTTCCTCTGTCTGACCCTTTTGGCGAAGGATTTAGTCAGAGGCCCTGGGGATGGCTGGTGGCGTCAGAAGGCAGATGTGCCATCCTGCCAGATGTGGGATCATCTTAAAGGTCTTTTCCAACCTAAATGATTCTGTGATTGGACTGTCGCTTCCTCTGGCCTGTGCGGCCGCAGCCAGTGCAACAGTGAAATCTCTGCATCTACCTGTCTGGAAGTGCAACTTGCCGACAGTGACGAACTATCTGATGTTTTGTGTTTTGAGCTGGTGATCCCACCAGATGGGACAAAATTCTCCTGTTTGGTCCTTCTGCGGTTTTGCAGGTTTAATCTGGTTTTGTTTAAAAAAATGCCTTCCTTCTGTAGCATGTGTGCAGCTGTGATTTGGAGATAGGAGGGCTTGTATTTTCTAGGGGATGCTTTGATTTCTTTTTGATGGAGTAGGTAGCCAACATATTTTCTTTTGTATCCCAGAAGAGCATTGAGTGTGTCTGTTTAACTATGTGCCTCTTGGCCATTGCTGGTTTCGGATCCAAGCTGTGCATAAAATTCCTTATAAATAAATGGGCTTTTAACGGATGCATATATTTTACAGCTTCAGTATGTGTGGAGAGAGAGAGAGATACATGACTTAACTAAAAACTTTAAAATTTGCTGTTAGTTTTTGTTTGGAGTTATGTGCAAAACAGTGCTATTTGATAAACGTGGGATGGTTTTGTCTAGCTGGGTTTAAGCATGTATCCAGCGTAGCTCCTCACACACAAATGTAAAGTTGAGCAGTGATTCAAGTGAAGGTTATTTGCTCTAAAGATAACAGGACAGAGCTGTGTTTTCATTACACCAAGCTCATCCAGTTTAGCTGGCTCTCAGAGGTGCAACCTTGTGTTGTCCCATTTTCCCTGTTTCTGTGTTTGGATCAGAGGGACCCTGTTGTCAGAGCTGTATTAAAAGAATTTGGTTTTAAATCCCTTCTCCGTAGAGCTCACATCCTGCACTCTGGACAGGTGTGCAAGTGCATCCTTGCTAGGCTGGCCAGTGTGCGCCCCGATGGCTTTTGCTTCTGCTCCCAAGCTTGTGAAAGGGTTGGATTTGCTCCTTCTGGCTCTATCAGTTAATATGGGATGATCGATATATTTAGTTATTACCATTTTGTCTTTTAAAATACTCCCTGGTGAGAAATGCTTGTCTGTGAACACACCGGGTTCCTGTGCTCTGAGCGGTTTGTGCTGTGCAAAGCCTTGAGAACCTGTTTTTTAATTGTACTTGAGCTTGGGTTTTGCCCCCAGGATGCAGATAACCATTAGCACCCTTTACAAAGTGGGAAGCGGGGTTCTGCTGAAGAGGTGGTGCTGGATTTGTACCTTTCTTGGTGTGAATTATCCCCGTAGATCCAGTGAGCGGCCAAGCAGCACAGGCGTGGGTTCTCCCCACTTTTTGTGGGTTATTGTGGTTACTTTATCCCATTTTGGAGGCAGGAGGGGGATTGCTCTTTCCCTAACTTCTGAAGGCACGCTGGTTCTTCCTAGCACAGCAGCTTTGTGTGTAGAAATGCACGCATATATGTGTAGTGTGTGTGTCACTCCTCTGCTAATAACTTTTGTCAGAGGTGCCAAGGACACTAACTAGGTGTGTGCTGCAAACAGGGGTTTAGCAGAGAGATGCCCCAGGAGTGGCCGGACTCAGGGTCTGGATGCTTTAACAGGCTTCCAGCAACCTACGCTAGAGGGAATAATATTAGAGGAAATCTCTTGGCATGGTGTCCCTCAGCTAGCCCATGACCTTGCACCCCATGTCCCATTTTTTTTTTTTTTTTTTTGCATTTTCTTCTAAATCTGCTGCCCAAGTTGCATGGGTTTACTGGAGTTCATCCCTACTGTCCTCTCATGCCTGTCCCAGCCAGCAGCCGCCCCAGCATGTTGTGTTAAAGCTTTTTGGGTTATTCCCCTGGTTTCTCATGGCCTGAGCAATGAGTGAGGTGCTTCAGCATTGCTGCCTGGCACGAATCCCCTGGAAGGTCTCTGCACGGCCCCGCTCAAGGCGATTAACTTGCCCGTGCCTGAGCACGGAGCTCAGACTTGTGCCATGAAAAACACTGAGGCTACTTGTGTGAGTAAAGAGCTGCTTAAGGATTTGCTGTATCTGCTTTCAGGCAGGGAGCCTATTAATTTATTTTATTTTTGTTAAGCTATCTGTATATTTTTAATTGTTCTTGAAGTTTTGAGTAATCCAAAAATGTAAAAGGCAGTAGATATTTTCAATGGCAGCTTTCTCATGTTACTTAGCGTTATAATAGAGAAATGAGAGAATGAATTCTAATTCAGAAACATCCACAGATGTTAAAATAGCTTAAAAAGGGATCAAATCAACTCAAGTTAAGAAAAAAAAAAATCCCAAACCTTTTCTCTGATGTTTCAGACATCTGCTCCCAACCTTGCTGGGAATAAATCAATTTTCAGGCAGTGTTGGGCCCGTTGCCTGAACACCTTTATTGGGGAATCAAGCAGCTAGTCAGAAACATACTTACACCAAGGTATGCAGGAATAAACTCTTCAATTTGAGCCGGCATCTGAAGATGCTGCAGGTCTTTTTCTGTCACGAGAAATATGTGTAAATCAAGTTTGTGGATGCTGTAGTCTTCCTCAGTGTGTTTTGCTATTTAATAATAGTGCTCTGCACTTACATAGCCCGTATCTTCACCTATATAGCCCACAGAGGCTGCAAGTGGTCAGGGATGGGGAATTAACCTTCTCTGAAGTGTTAGAAGTGTTATGCATGCCTTTTAGTTTTCCCAGTGGAATTCAACAGGCCTGCAGCCTGGGAGCTTTTTTTTTTGCATGTTTTCTTCCTTTTTTTTTTTTCCCCCTTAATTCTTATGAGGCAAAGTTGTGCTGTTGGCTTTCAAAGCTTGGTGATGACATCCACCAGTATTTTTATTTTAATTCTATTTTGCAGCTTTCTGGCCGGTTTGTGTCTGTATTGCTTTGGGGTTATTCTTGCCCGTGATATGAACCCATATCACAGCAACATGCGTGAACTTAAGGTTAACCTTTAGCCATTTTAGGTGCACATATTGGTGTATCCCAGAAGGACTCTGATGAAGGTGAAGCCATGCTTGGCTCAGGAGCGTCATCCCTGCGATGCGATGGGCATCCACCATTAGCCGCTGAGCAGAGCAGCACATGCCACCATGCTGGGGTACCCCTGTGACACTGAATTTAGGGTTTTCTTTATTAGCATTTTTTGCTGTGTGCAGGGGGATCGGTTGCTTCCCAGCCTCACCATGCCCTGGAAGCATCAGAGCTGTGGAACACTAAAGGGCTCGGCTTGGGATGGAAGGTTTTCCCATCGCATCCTCTTTTTCGGGGCCGTCTTGCAATAGGTTGAAACTTTCCTAAAATAGAGTAGCAATAAAAATAGCTGGCATTTGCAAACGTAGTAAAATCCACATCTGAGAGGCTTTTGTGCAGAAAGCTGCAGGGCTGTCCCCTGGGCATGGTGCAGGGTGATAGCCGTAATTTTATGACAGTTGCCAACAGCAATAGTGAGTTGACTTGAATCTTCCTTTTAAAATATATTGTTTACTGTAATGTCAAGATTCAGAGGTGCCATTTGTACAGTCCTCCTACTTTGCGTTGGATGGTAAGGACATAATAATGTGCAGAAATGTAAAATATTGTTAATTTAGCATTTAAAGCCAACAGCACTGTTCATTTTGTGTCTTTACCATCAAATGACAGGACTAAGCTGCCACCACCTTGGCACTTGCAAAACTAGCAGGACCAGTAAGACCAAGCTCTGCAAAAATCAGATCACAAAATTTGAGGGAAAGAAGGAAAAACAGCTGTAATTTTTAATTTTGTCGCTCCTTGGTTCGTCCCTGAATGCGTTGTGCCTAATGAATATGTTTAATACATGCCGTTCCGGAGCGTTGCCAGATGCTTCAGTGTCAAGTGCTCTAAAAACGACAAGTATTTTTAACTGTTATGCTAACGTGGATTTTTTTTTTTTTGTGGCGGTTATTTGTCCTGACGTAAAATACAAAAATGAAATGCAAAATCTCAGTGGTGTTTCTAATGGGAATGGCTGCTGGATGCAGAATCCGCTGACAGGTAGAAGAGTTACTTGTGAAGCAGATGCTGCAAGAATTGCTCTAGCATCAAGGGAGAGCAGCATTCCCAAATACGTGGATGCAGATTTGCACGATCAATGATTATATATTCCTTCTTTAAAAACTACAAAGCTGTGTTTGTTTTTTTTTTTTTTAAATGAGAAACAGCCAGGCTGTTTAAGAGACAATGCAACTTAAACGTTGCAAACTGTAGTGCTTGAAAGTTATTGAGTCAGTTGGTTTGAAATTAAAAATACACAAGCACAATATCTGCATTTTGAATATCTTGGACCATTCTTTACCCGAACCTACCTATACTTTCACTTATCTGGTCATAAAAGTCTCACGAAAACATACAAAAGATATTTTGTGCAATGACATCAGAGAGAGAAAATATTCTTAGAAAATTTCATGCTGTTAAATCTCTACAGATTTACAGTTTTATCCAGTCAAATTAATGCAAAACCCCAATGCAAGCATTTGGATTTTGAAAACTTTGGAGGAGTGTCATTTCCTAATAGTAATTATTGGTTTTACATTATTTTTTCACAGGGGAGCTGATCACAGCCGCATATGAGCTTGGAGTAAGTATTAGTTTTATTGTTTAATCAATGCTCTCATTAACAGTTTTAGGAATTAAGGAAGTTTAATTAAGCATGGAGTAAAGTAGATTAATTTATTTTCAAACCACAGTTTTTACTAACTTATAAGTACAGCACGCGACAATTTACTTCAAGTTTTAAATCCAATTAAACTAAATTATAAAGCAAAGGCTTTACTGTATATACAGTAGCTGGCTTATTATCAACCCAAATTTTGTATAAGCTGGGGAGAATAAAATAAATCGGGTTAACAATTTTAATAAGTTTTATTATTTAATAAAGTTTATTATGGTGCATGATCCCTTTAGGCAAGACCTTAGGACTGTCAGCGCGGTGGTAATCCGATAGCAGTGTGGTCTTTCAACTTGCTAACCAATAAAATAGTTGAGAAGCTGCCTTTTTTTTTTTTTTTTTTTTTTTTTTTTTTTTTTTTTCAACAGCCTTTTGAATGACCCTAATATACTGTGAACCCAAACAAGGAGCCCTTTAAGGCACGCTAATGAAACGTGGCACCTCCTTTTCTCGCCGCCTCATTATTATGAGCGAGGCGTGGAGCCAAATCCACTATGGAAAAATATTTGCAGAGTTAAAATCGGTATGAAAGGATGGGTCGGGGAGAGGCACCACTTGGAGATCCCCCGGCTCCTGCTGCCGGACCCCGGCGTGCCGTTCTCCTTTTGATTTCATAGAATTTCACCCTTTTTCAACCCCGTATTGATCTGTCTGTAGGTCGCCCACCCTCCTGGCTACCCCCTGTTCACGCTGCTGGCCAAACTGGCGACGGGGCTGCTGCCCGTCGGCTCCCCCGCCTACCGAGTCAATCTCCTCTGTGGCTTGTTGGGAGCAGCTGCCGCCTCTTTGCTTTTTTACACAGTTTTCAGGTAAAGTCATTTTTCTCATTGGCGTGATGCTGGCAGGGTGCTTCCCCGTCGGCTCGGGATGTTTCCAAAGGCTCCCTCTGTTCCCCTCTGGCCTTCGGACTAGCGTTTCCCCCCGCCTCCCTTTCCAGCTGTAATTAGTTCTGATTAACCTAACAGCAGTTTAATCTGAATTTGACCTTCTTTCCTGCACAAAAGGTCCCTCTTTGTTTTTTTTTTTTCTTTCTGTTAAATAATAATAATAGTAATAATAAAAAGTGCACCCTTTCCCTTACACAGACGTGACAGGTTGTTCAGGCTCATTATCACAAATCACCGCTCGGTTTAACTAACCAGAACTAATGAAGTTTGTCGTTCGCGAAAGATGCAGATGGTCTGTTTAAATTAACAGGATGAGCTTCACCTATCGGGAAACCGTGAACTTGGTTTAATTGCAGCTCCCGGCGGAGGCGGATGGGCAGTTGCCTGCCGGTGGTACCCAAGGACCGGGGCGAGCATCGGTGCCTTCCGCAGACAGAGGTGCTGCCGTCTGCAGGGTGGGGGGGAACTGGCCAGAGCTCGTCCGTTTTCTCCAGACCTCTAACCTTGGGAGAAAAGGGAACAATCGGGATGCGCACGTGGTTGGGGGTTTTGTTAACCCCGCTCGTCTTTGATGTGCAAGTTCTGGCTGCTCTTAACCTCAGCCTGACCCATATTTGAGAGGATTATCGCAACCCATACAAACAATTTCTGATGTTCTTTTGCAGGGAAAATAGGGCACGTTTTGAGGCTGCAAACAGTGAAATCTGAAATGATATTGGGGCGCTTTGGGATGAGACAGGGCGCTTCCTCACTGAGATTATTCTGACAAAAGCTGTTTCTCCCACCCGTTTCCAGAGTTGCCTTGCCCCTCTGGGAAACCTTCCCAGAGAACGAGAGCAACCTAGAAATAAAAGCAGGAATAAATGGGCAGGGGGAGGAGAGAGAAGATCCTGCACAGCCTGAGAGCCTGAGCTCACTTAAACTTGGGTCCATGGGGTCTGTCTGTCCATCCGGGTGCATCTTCCTCTGCTAAAGAGGAGCTGCTTTTTGCTCATCACCTTTCACGTAGCAGCACATCAGCTCCAAAGCACACCTACTGGAATTGCTAAAGTAATTCCTAAATGTTTCTATAAGTATTTAAAGTGATCGCTTTTACTGTTGGGTAATACATGTAATTAAGTCAGCATTCTTTAATTTAATATCCTGTATTTTACAGCGTATTTGGGGAGCTGGAAGTGGCGCTGCCCTCCCGTGCACAGTGCCAGGCGCAGCGTCAGAGCACAACTCATTTTGATTATATTAAAAACTCCTGCAAGGAGTTGCTAAAGGTTTTGAATATTGGGTTCTGATTTGTTTTTTATTATGGTTATTCCTGTTACGATAGTTACTGTGAAGATCTGCCCCGCTTGTTAGTTTTTTTTCCAACGTGACAGTGCCTTATGTGCCCATTTTCTGCATATGAAATGATGCGATTGTCGCTTCAGAGAAATAAGAATGCAAGAGGGAAATTACAAGCTAAATTTAGGAATTATTTTTACACTTCTAGAGGTTTAATTTTTGTTGTTGTTGTTTAATTGGATTTGGAAGATGTTGCTTCTGTCAGATTCAAAACTTGCGCGAAAGAACAAAAAACCTGGAATTGAGAGATGATAGAAACTATTAGGATTTACAGAAAATTATTTCATAGGTACAAGGCACTGACAGGATCAATTATTCAGCCTAGCAGCAATCTAATTTTTTTGAAATTAATTGTAAGAGATTGTGGGTCAGTTTTATTTCCAAATTACAATTTATATCTTTCCTTTTAAGCACCTTAAAATTGATTTAATTTTTACAGCATTCATTTAGGGAAAAAAAAGTTTTTTTTCTTTCTATTGCCATCTACTTTTAAAAAAAAAAGAAAGTGTTTACTGTCACTGTCTGCGTGAAAGCCATAACTATCTGAAGGGGACGTGTTTTGGTTTTAACCGGGCTTGTCTGTACTCACAAAGGATCTAAATGGGTCTATCAAATCCGCTCGCATTTTTGTGTTTTAATTACAGTTTAGCTGATGGGGTGACCCCCGCGAGGTACCAGAGGAAAAATAAGCACCTGCTCCTCTTGCCGCATGAAATGTGGATGTTAATATGAAAATATGTAGATGTTAGGAATACAAATAATTGATGAAGTACACATCCTTCGGGAGCAACACGGTTCAAGTGGCAAATCTCTCTCCTCAAACAATAGCCACCCTTCAGCGGGGAGGAAGCCATCTCTATGGTAATGGGGCTGATGCTGCCCTATTGATCGAGTGGAAGAAGACATTACACAATGTCAGTTGGGTTGTTACAATTTCATTTGTCGTCTGACCTGAACTTAACCTCTAAAACCTTTCTTTTCTCCCCACCAGCCAGGCAGAGCTGCTGTTTACCCTCGCGGGGTTTTTCTGTGCCTCCCAGCATCCCCGTACAGTAAATTTCTCCCTTTTTTTCCCATTGACTCTTTTTGTTTAAGAGGCATTTCCCGAGTTTATTCCTTGGCAAGTCACGACAATTTCTTTTACTGCTTAAGGAAAGAGTCGCGGTTCCCTCTGTGGCTGGCTAGTGTTTGGGATGTTCTGGCGCGTGTGGGATTAGGATGGAATTTATTCCTTAAACAGATTTCTCCTCTGCCAGGTGATGGCTGGCGGGATGTTCCGCGCAGATACTGCCAGGGTCGATAGGAAGCAACCCCGACATTTTGTTTGTTTATAGATTGCATTATATTATATCATTCATTTCATTCTTTTTTTTTTTTTTTTTTTTTTTTAAGCCTGGATTGTGCTTCTTAAAACAAAGTTACGTTGAACCACATTGATGCAAATAGCCATTTTGTCAGTAATCCAGACTATCACTGAACGAGTGGTTTACTCCTTTGAATTAGTTCTCAAATATGTTTTTTTTTTTTCTCCCTCTGCACAATCTTAATAAATGGCTTGTAATTATCGTAAAATGGCATTTACAAAGAGTTTTCTTGGACTGCTTGTAACTGAGGCAAATAATTCATCTTTGCTTTGAGAGAGGGGGGAGCTGCTTTATGTTTTCAGGACGCAGCAAGTGCGACTATAGGATTGTTTCTTTAAACAACTATTTATTTGTTTTACTGTGGGAGGCAAAGCATAGCAAGTTTACAAAGTAAACCAATTATCTTCTTATAATATGATTGCCAAAGTGTCATCTTCTGTACAGATGATGCATTCTTTGCATTCTCTGTTGCAAAGAGAAATAGGATGCTTTCCCCTGCTTTAAGTGCTTTTTTTTTTTTTTTTTGGTGTATAGCTTTCATAGTTAGGCTGGTTTGCTGTAGCTAAATGTAAAAAGCTAATTTATTGCAGTGGCAGTAGCAGAGTAAAAGGTGTCATTGCCCAAGTACTTCTAGTAAGTTTTTGCCAACTTTATTATGGCTGAGTTGGACACAAGTTTTTGAAAGGGGGGAAAATGTGGTATTAAATTAACCAGGTCATGTCTCTTTGGTTTGCTGTTCTGGCTATCATGCTAAGTTCTGGACTAATATATATGTATTTATATATATATATATATATATATATATATATATTCCTTGTCCCTCAGACCTTCCAAGCAACACAACCTCCAACTGCCAACAAAAAGGAGCGTTAGGCATGTTTTATTATGAAATCATCAAAATGATTTGATCATTTTGAAGTCATAAAAATGTTTTGGAATTGACGCGTGACCATCCTGATGGCTTGGAGGTTTCCTGCTCCAGTGATATGTGTCCTGGAGCTCTTGTGGGAAGGTCCCTGAGAAGGACCAGGCGTGTTGGAGCACTGGGAGGATGTGTCACCTTCGTGGTCCTCACCAGATTTTAAAACTAACCGGTGCTGGGAAAAGTTGTCTGCTGCCTGCAGTGAGTGGGGAAGTACTCTGTGCCCCTCAGGTATGTGGGTCAGTTGGAGCAGGAGTCATCTCCAAACTTTTTTTCGGGGCATGGTTTGGGGAAGATGGAGGGATGAGAGAGCGCTTCCACCTGGGATGCTGGTGCCTCCTCAACTATCATGGGAAATCAAAATACTGGGCTTCAGGGAAGGCAGAATCTCCTTACAGGCCATATTTGGATTTTTCCAGATTACAGATTACCGTAGATTATCACTGTAGCACAGCGCCAAGATCTTGGCTGTTTCAAAAGCAGCTATGCTTAGTAACAAGTAGTTACGAAGTTTTGGAGAGAGAGAAGAAAGGAAGGTACTCAAGCATGAATTTGTTTTTAGAAGAATATCTACTGTGACCTCTGGGTAATTGATCATATATATATATATATATTTTTATTTTTTTTTTTTTTTCCCTTCCTTGTCCCCATAATAAACCAGCACTGAGTTCAGTCTGTTTGAAGACATTACCAAATCTGTTCATTTGCATTTTGCTCTAAAGTAGGCACATTAGGCTGCAATAGCTCTGCTTCGTTTTGAAGAGGGGGGGAAAAAAAAAAGCAGGGCAAAAAACTCTTTTTTTTTTTTTTTTCTAAAAGACTGAAGAGTCTTTTCTGACAGCTAGTCAGAGTTAGAATTAGTTCAAGGAAATGTTAATAATGCACTGCCTGGCTTAATCCCTTTGATATCACCAGGTATCCTCCTGTTCATGGGTTAATTGCTTTAAAAGCGGAGGCAATATTCTGAGCGGTGGGCCGCTTCACCTTTTCACAGCTGTTACCATTGAGTGACAACTAAATCCCATGTGTAAGATGAGGAAGAGCTCAATCTCCAATTGGGAGAAAATTTATGTAAACCGCAATCCCTTCAGAATGTGCGGAAGTCACAGACTTTCTTGATTTACTCTGCTTTTCCCAGAAAGCTCCATTGTTCCCTTCCCTAAGTCCCATCAACCCTTTGTAGCAGAATATCACAGCGGCGGCAGATAGCTTGAAATATATAAATGCTATCATAGCTCTGATTAATAGCAGCGCTTATGAGTCAAGTCTGATAACGGAGCAGCTCTCCACTCAATTTC